GCTTAGGTAAAGTGCCATTGTGTTCAATCTCCAGTACTGCTGAAAAAACAAATACAGCAGCATGGGATGAGACTTAAGCTTGTTCATAGATCACAGTTTTGAAAGCACATTTCTTTTTTTAACTAATTGTTATATTTTGTTTTCCTGTTTTCTGTTCCTATAAGATCTTCCATATCATAGTAAAATTCTTATAATCTTTATCCTGCAAGCTTTGGGTATCTTTAATTTGCATATTAAATAGCAGAATATAGAAAGCCACTTAAGTATATTAATTTGGATCTCATTCACTGAGGTAATTCTCAGAGAGTTTGAAAAAGTGGTGCACGCCTGTAATCCTAGTGGATCTCGGCTGAGACTGGAGGATCTTGAGTTCAAAGCCAGCCTCCACAACTGTAAGACGCTAAGCAACTCGATAGAACCTATCTCTAAATAAAATACAAAATAGGTGTGGCTCAGTGGTTCAGTGCCCCTGAGTTCAATTTCCAGTATCCACCCACCCACCCCCAAGAAAACAAAAACTAGTAAATAATTTCTTCTTACATATTTTTTCTATTAACTTACTCCAGTTTACTTAGGAGTATACTTGCACATGATAGGCAAGTGCTCTATCACTGAGCTTCAACTCTAGGCTCAGAGTAGGGCTCTTTGTTTGTGTACTAGGGATTGAACCCATGGGCAGTTAAGCATATCCCCAGCCCTTTTTTATATTTTATTTTGAGACAGGGTCTTGCTAAATTGCTTAAGGCCTCACTGAGTTACTGGGGCTGGCTTAGAACTTGATATCCTCTTGCTTTGGGCTTCTGTGCTGCTGCTATTATAAGAGAGTGTCACCACAACCACCCAGCAGTAGGTTTTTTGTTTTTTTTAATTTATTTATGTTTTACAGTTCTGGGGATTAAATCCTTGATACCATACCACTGAGTTAAACCCCAAACTATTTAAGACAATCTCAGTAGGTTGTTGGGATTGATCTCAAATTTGCAGTCCTGCCTCAGTCTCCCTAGTAGCTGAGATTACAAGAGTGTGCCACTGTTCCTGGCCAGATGTTTTAATTTTAAGCTTTTTTCTTATGGAAAACTTAAGACATATGCAAAGGAAACAAAATTGTATAATGAACCTCTGTGTAGTTGTCATTTACCATTCTTGAATCATCTGTTATCTCCTGCTCAATGATGATGACTTATGGCTTCCCCTCCCCCCCCCAGGTAAAATTTAGATACATCGAAGTGTACAGATCTTATCAGCAGGATTTTAACAGATGGGTAACCCACATATTTATCAAAATACAGAAAGTTTTTCATTTTTGTTTTCCTAATTGGAAGGCTTTTGTATTGAGGCAACCGCTGTTCTGTTTATTTTTCAAATCCAATTAGTTTTGCCTAATGAACTTGATATTTCTTTCCTTTGTTCTCATGTCTGTGAAATTCACTCACATTATTGATGGGAGCCAAATATTATCACATTGTATGGGTAGCTCACAATTTTTTTTATCCATTTTCCTGATGGTGAACCTTCAGGTTTGGTACAGTTTTGGCCTATTATGAGTAGAGCTTCTATGATAGATTTAGTCACTTTTTAATTTTCTTGCAGCATGTATATATTTGAAATGAAATGACATTTAATTAAAAATTCCATTAATTTAAAATTTTTGAGGTTTGAGTTAGTATCCTAATTCAGGAAGTATCTGTTAAAATTTTAGTTTTTCAAAGTTTATAGAAAACCACTATCTAATGTTTAAAAATTCTTTAGAAATTGAATTGAGTGATTTTTTTTTTGAATGACAAGTTTTCCTTCCTAAATCATTTCACTTTTCACAAAACTAGTGGCATAAGTAATTCTTCCTTTTTCATTTTCTTTTTCAGAAATGATTCCCTGAGTCCTGAGTTGGTGGAAGCTGCATCTGCTGTGGCAGATTCTCTGCCTTTTGACAAGCAGACAACCAAGTCAGAACTGCTTAGACAGCTCCGTCAGCATGAGGAAGACTCAAGGGCACAGAAGGATAGAGAAAAGACTAAAATTAGGTTAGTGGATCATTTGTGTCAGTAACGCTTATCTCTCTCTCTCTCTTTTTTTAAATTGATTTTATTTTTTTAAATACACAACAGCGAAATGCATTACAATTCTTATTACACATATATAGCACAATTTTTCATATCTTTGTGTATAAAGTATGTTTACACCAATTCATATCTTTATACTTTTTTTTGCATTACAATTTTTATTACACATATATACCACAATTTTTCATATCTCTGTATATAAAGTATGTTGACACCCAATTCGTGTCTTCATACATGTACTTTGGATAATGATGTCCATCACATTACACCATCCTTGCTAATCCCCTGCCCTCTCCCTTTCTCTCCCTCCTCTCTTCCCTATCTAGAATTCATCTATTCCTCCCATGTTTTCCCTCCCTAACCCACTATGAGTCAGCCTCCTTATATCAGAGAAAACATTCAGCCTTGTTTTAAGGGGGGGATTGCCTAACTAAACTTAGCATTATCTTCTCCAACATTATCCATTTACCTGCAAATGCCATGATTTTATTCTCTTTCATTGCTGAGTAAAATTCCATTGTGTATATATACCACTTTTTTTAATCCATTCATCCACTGAAGGACATCTAGGTTGGCTCCACAGTTTACCTATTGTGAATTGTGCTGCTATAAACATTGATGTGGCTGTGTCCCTGTAGTATGCTGTTTTTAAGTCCTTTGGGTATAGTCCAAGGAGAGGGATAGCTGGGTCAAATGGTTCCATTCCCCGTTTTCCAAGGA